CTGACATCAACATCATTTACACTGAGGTCAAACCATCATAATAATAGCAGAGTGGTGGGGATGTCAGCACTGCCAGTGCAGGGCTGGATGTGTCCCACAAGGAAGATGGTATTTGAGGGAGCAGCTCATGACAAAGGGTGGGATGTGAGGGTCAAAGTGTTGAACTGAGGAGGCTCAAAGAGGCATCAAAGTTGTGCCCCAGGAATGCAGAGCAGAAGCAGGCTCCACTAAACTACAGGACATCCTCACCAGCCTCCTTCTAGGTACCTACAACCCTGGAGGAGGATGATCTCTAGGAGTGCCCCAGTTTAGAAAGGGAAAGCTTAAGTTAAATGGGCTGAAGGAGCTGAAGGAGGAACTGGGGCTGGAAGGAGATGTGCCACATCTCTTGGCTACAGCAAGAAAACAAGATGGACGATCTCCGTAACATCTCACAGCCCATCACTCCCTGGGGGCTGTTTCCAACCTGTGTGGCTGGAGGTCCATGGGATTTGGCTTAGAGCAGACAGCACTCAGCCGTGGCTCTCATTCCATCCTTGTGGCATGCAGACCCATTGGTTGCTCTTGGGTGGGACATGAGGGCAGCCATACTACACCCTCCTGACATGGTGACAGCAAAGCATCAGCAGTGGGGCTGCTGGCCATCTTCTAATCAACAACCAGCTGAACATGAGCAGCTTGTGCCCAGGCAGCCAAGAAAGCCAATGGCATTCTGGCCTGTATTTGCACCAGCGTGACCAGCAGTGCCAGGGCAGTGATCGTCCTCCTGTACTCAGCAATTGTGAGGCCACACATCAAATCCTGTGTTTAGTTCTGGGCCCCTCACTACAAGAGAGACATTGAGGTGTTGGAGCGGGTCCAGAGAAGGGCAGTGGAGCTCGTGAAGGGCCTGGAGCACAGGTGTGATGGGGAGTGGCTGAGGGAACTGGGGATTTTAGTCTGGAGAAGAGAAGGCTCAGGAGGGACCTTGTCGCTCTCTACAGCTGCCTGATAGGAGGATGGAGCCAGGAGGTGGCTGGTCTCTGCTCCCAAGGAACAAGGGATAGGACAAGAGGAAGCAGCCTCAAGCTGCACCAGGGCAAGTTTAGACTGGATATTAGAGACAATTTCTTCTCCAAAAATTTCTTCACCCAAAAGGGTGGTCAGGTATCGAAACAGGCTGCCCAGGACAGTGGTGGAGCCACCATTCCATAGCACTTAAGTGACATGGTTTAGTGGCAGACTTGGCAGTACTGGGTTAATGGTTGGACTTGATGATCTTACAAGTCTTTTCCAACATGTGATTCTATCTAGACAGGCTGGGGGCCCTTGGGCTGGACTAGCACAGCCCTTCTCATGTTCCTACAGCATGAAACAATCAATGTTGTTACTTTAATGAGAAAAGGTTTTATAAAAAGCCAACTTCAACGGAAGGGGACTGCTTGTGACTCCAAGAATACCTGAGACTTCTCAGACACCTGGGACTTCTATTAAAAGCTTTGGTAGCTGGTTATCCTTTGCAGAGGCAAGAGGGGAAGCTGCTGAGAAGGAAAATACAGCTGCAGAGAAGTTCTTCAGCACTGCCGTAGTCAAAAAAAGAAAGAAAAACCGCAAAGGACATGAGCAGAATGACAAGATCACTAAATTTCAGAGACAGAATCAGGAAGCTAGGGTACAAAGTGAGATAAGGTAAACAAGGGCTGCAAAAGGCTCTGTGTTTGCTCAGTTGCCTTTATAATAAGAGGAAGGAGAAGGGAAAGTTTGGCCCATTGCTTCACCAGGAGTCATTAACTGATGAGGCAGAGAAAACTGGGATGTTCATAGTGCTGCATTTGCATCCTCTCTTATGCCAAAGGTTAGTGAGGATCAGATCTGGGATGGTGTTTTTAACGAGGAACCAGGGAAGAAGCCATGAAAGTGAAGAAACGCAGCCAGGGCTGCTTAAGGAACTAGCTGAGATAACCTCTTGAGAGCTCAGGGACTCTGCAAGTGCAGGCAGGAAGGGTGGGAACAGCAGCTTTGTCCATCAGCTATTTTGAAACAGGTGAAGTGCTCAGTCAGAGCTGAGCCTCCAAAGTTCAGTCCTCAGAAAGATGCTATCAAAAGCAGTTGAGCAAGTGTGAGGAGATAAGGCCATAAGGAACACAATGCCCTCCTTGCCTCAGATGTGTATGTGCCACCTCCATTCAGAGGACAGAGGTCCCTGTTGTCCCCATGTGCACTCCAGGCAGGTGTGCAAGATGTCCATGATGGGTTTCCACGCCAGGAGCATGGAGAGTGCCCTCACTGCCCCACAAGCTTTGCTCACCACATGGAGGAAGCCTGATTCAAGAAGAGAAACTAAAGTGCTGCTTCTCCCAGCATGGTAGGGTTTTTAGGGCAGAATCATAGCAGCAGGCACCTGGCGAGGCTGTGGAGGAGCCATCCAGCCTGGAGGAGAGTGATACCAGGGAGTACAGCCAGGGAGGTCTCTGCAGCTCCCCAGGAGTTGCTGCCTGATGTGGTCCCCAAGCTTCACACCCACCGTGATGGTGGTTTTGGGTGCTGGTGGACAAGTCCTTAGTGTTGCAGTCACTGCCAGCCTGGTTCCTACATGGTCCTCAGCTAAACCTCCCAGTGTAAGGACAGGACAAGGGGGAATGGCTTTAAGCTGACTGAGGGGAGACTGAGATGAGATCTTAGGCAAAAGTTCTTCCCTGTGAGGGTGCTGAGGCCCTGGCACAGGTTGCCCAGAGAAGCTGTGGCTGCCCCATCCCTGGCAGTGTTCGAGGCCAGGCTGGATGGGGTTCGGAGGAACCTGCTCTAGTGGAAGGTGTCCCTGCCCATGGCAGGGGTTTGGAACTGAATGAGCTTTAAGGTCCCTTCCAATCCAAACCAGTCTGGGGTTCTCTGAATGGTTCAAAGCTGCACCAGGAGAGATTTATACTGGACATTAGGGGAGCATTTCTTTATCAAGTGGGCTGTCAAACCCTGGCACAGGCTTCCTGGAAAGGTGGTCGAAGCCCAGGCCTGTTAGTGTTGAAGACGCATTTGGACCATGCCCTTAATAACATGCTTTAACTTTTAGTCAGCCCTGAAGTGGTCAGGCAGTTGGATCAGATGATCATGGTGGGTCCCTTCCAACTGAAGTACTCAGTTCTAAACTAGGCACAGCCTCTGCTTGCTCACCTGCTAGGGACAAGTGCCACCTTCCTGGGTGCAGCATGGATGGCCAGACATAAGGACTAGGAGTGGAAGCAGGAGGAAGGGCTGGCAGGATTGTGGAGGCTGTATCAGATGAGAGAAGGGGCTAAAAGTATTCACCTGGGGCAAACTGTGTTTGACAAACCCAACTGCCTTCTATGGTGAAGTCACCTGCTCAGCTGATGTGGGGTGAGCAGTGGACATTGTCCAGCTGGATTCCTCCAAGGGTTTCAAAGCAGTTTTGCATGTCCTGCCCAGCTGGGAGTAGTGCTGAGGAAAGGGACTTGAAGTTCTGAGGGACACAAGCTCCATAGGAATGAAGAGTGAGTGGCTGCAGTAGAGAAGGGCAATAGGGTGCTGGGGAACATCAACAGGGGCATCACCAGCAGAGATAAAGATGTCATTGTCCCACTCTGCTCAGCATTTTTCAGGCCACACATGGAATGCTGTGCTCAGTTCCAGTCCCCACCATATAAAAAAGTTGTGGACAGGCTGGAGAGCATCTAGAGAAGAGCCACAAAGATGATCCAAGGACTGAGCAGTGTGTGAGGAAAGACTGGGAGAGTTGGGTTAGTTCAGCCTGGAGAAAAGAACGCTCAGGGGAGACCATAACCCCCTGTGCCAATATTTAAAGGGTGGCCACAGAGATGGAGACCCCTTTTTTAAAGGGAGTCCCATGGAAAAGACAAGGGGTGATGGGCGCAAGTTACTCCTGGGGTGATTCCAACTGGACACAAGAGGAAAATGTTTCACAATGAGAACAACCAGCCACTGGAATAATCTGCCCAGGGAAGAGGTGGATTCCCCAACACTGGACACTGTTGATTTGGCTGGACAGGGTGTGGGGACAAAGTCTAGGTCATGCTTTGCCTAGAAAGGTTGGACCAAATGATCCCTGAGGTCCCTTCCAACCTGGGATTCCATGATCCTATGAAATACTCCTCAAAACCAGCTGATAGAAGCATATTCCCCCCAGCTGATGCTCCACTACCCAACACTCACCCTTTGAAGGCCTCTTGCACAGTAACAGCAAGTAACACTGTTTAAAGAAAGCAAGATTAAACAGCCTTAACCTTCATCAGCTGAACTCTGGCAGTATCTGAAAGTGTTTCCAGCTTACTTAAATTCCAGCAGGGTGAATCACTGTATAACAAAAGCTTCTGCTGCTGCCTCCTCCCTCTTATTTACTCCTGAAAGTGGAGTTCAGGTTAAGGGCTGCCTTTATCAGGGACTTCTCACATGGAGACTTGCAGAGATCCAATCTTCTGCTGCCAGGGAGGCTGAAAAAAGGCAATAAACTCACAAAGGTCATAGGTGCACAGAGGCTTTTACCCATTTCTTTAGATCACAAGGTAGGAGCACTAACAGGTTTGTTGCACAGGTTTATCACAAAAATCATGTCTCCTTGGCAGTTGTTCTCACTGATGACAGAGGCAGGAGGGTGAGGAAGGGTCTGTTGCCTCCAGTCCCTTGTATTCCCCCCAGCTCCCAGATAAGTACACTACACAGCTCATACTGCAGCACTTGCCTCCAGAGCCACACTGGGCGCTTTGCACACCTCAAGGGCTTCCTCCCTTCTCTCCCTGCAAGCCTTCTCCTTACTCAACAAGGAGAAAGCCTCTTTCTGAAACCCTGACCAAGTAAGAAAGCTAACCCGGGCAGCTTCATTCTGTTCTTCCCAGTGGGCATCATGTACTGGAGTCATGTTTTCAGTGGAACAGTTTATGGAGAACTCCAAGAGTTAACCCAACATTTAAACAGCTCCAGAACTCACTGAGAGGCTGACTAAAAGGAGAGACACACTTGGAATGCCCCAGCCACTAGTCTGAAAACAAACATTTTACTATCAGTCACTTTTATTTCAAGAACAGCATAGCCTTTCATCCCAGGTCCCACTGGAGATCAGTGTGTAACTCAGGTAGCAGAAGAAGCATTCACATCCTGTAGAGCAAGAGCTCCTAACAAAGCAATCCCCCAGAGACAAAAGCATTGAGTTTTCCTCCTCTCCCGCTCTTGGTGAGCAGCCCAAACAGAGCAGTCCCTCACCCTGCACCTCGTGGGTGCTTCACTGATCACACAAATAAATAGTTCTCAGTATCTTGCTGTGTACAAGCAGATAGTCTAGAAGTTAATTACTGCTGTGTTCTTACCTACTGGACACTGTAGGTAACTGACTTGGTAGCCACAGAGAGAGGCAGCAGGCTCAGACTGCCTTTGCGTTATCAGTTTAACTGGACAGAAAGGTGTGAGAGAAGCAGGCAGATCTTTTTTTATCTGCTCCCTGCTTTAAGGGGAGGAGTTTTCTCAGTGGGACTTAGCCTTTGTCATTTTGATGGAAATAGATGGGGTCACGCTCCCCAAACACTTGGAAATTCATTGTGCCGGCCACACTTCAGACAGGTTGCTGAGCACATGCTGCTCAATGCACTCCCTGCTCCTGGCTTGTGACAGGAGCTGCTGAGCCACCTTCATATGGCAAGGAACTGCAGGTTCACATTTCAAAGAGAGCAGGAGCCCAGTGCCACCCTGAGAGTGAGCCAGAACTGCTGATTCATCAGGGAAAATCAGGACAAATTAAAGCTGTACAACATGGGCATGGGGAAGTACAGTCGTGTCACACACACACAACCTGACACTTGTCTCTACTTCTGTCTGCTGGTGGGACATGCTGTGATCGTCAGTGTCCCAGTATGAAATCAAGCCAGCTAAAACAAAGCATAACATGCTGAAGTCTAATACATATGAGGCCACTTGTCACCGAAGATTATTAAGGTATCCCAAGGCTGACTACAAGTGATGAGCTCACAGCAGTGTCAGTGCCCACAGTGCCCTTCCCACAGAAAGTACTGGCTGGAAAGCATGAGTTTGAGAGGATGAGAAGGACTGCAGGAAGAACCTCAGACTGATGAAAGAGCAGAGGAGTCATTCATGGGACATCCAGAGATGTCTTGGTTAGGCATCATGCAGCTGGTTCTCTTTCAGGAGGATCTTCTCCCCAGGCTTGAAGGCTGGCATCCCCCGGTAAGGGCAGCTGGCACAGCGAAATGCATCCCCCAGGTAGCACTTCCAAGAGAAACAAAGGCACCTTCTGTAACCAGCAGCAACTTTCAGTTCTCTTCCCCTGGAATATGGCTTTTCCAGCTCCTCAGCATGTCAGCACAGAAAACACCTCCCTTCTACCCTCTTCCCAAGGCATGCTGTATTAGCACAGCTGTGCAGGACATTAGGCAAGCTTCCCCCCAGCCAGTGTGCCCACACATGGCTGCATATTGGGCTGGGGCAGTCCCCAAATCCCCCCTGGCTCCCTCCCACAAGGTAACCTGCCCTGTGAGCATAGGAGCAGGGAGGTGAAGCTTCACTGTTCATTCTGACTCCCACAGGGACAGGTGCAGTGATGCAGAGTGTGTGCGCAATGGCAGAAGCAGCACAAGCAGCGTCTGGGAGCGGTACGCTAGCCTAGGGAGCACTCACTAGAGAGCACAGTTCTTAGAGATCATGCCCTGGCAAAGCATAGAAACAAAAATTACTATTTACATTTCCACAGGCAGATTTGGGCTGTACGCTCTTCTTCTCCTGTTCCAGTTCTTCAGCCAGGCCACATGTGCTGTAGAAAAATAAAGAAGTCACCTGCACATTTCTGTTTAAAGGTTGTGAATCACCAACACTCCTTCCACCCCTACTCACATGCAACAGCCCTCATTCTGTCACACAACACAGCTGACACTGGGACTCTCCTGCCCTTCACTTTGTTCCTCAACACCACAGTTTGTGTAACAAGTGTTGAAGCACACTCCTCACCTTTAAACTAGTAGGAAATGGCTGTATGGCATTTGCTATGTGTGCTCTTTCTTCTTCAGATCTGAGAAACCAGGGTTTTAGTCAAGGCACAAACTGCATAGCCACCCTCAGGAAGGCTGCTGATCACATCAGTGTGGTAATTTGTAACAGCTTTGGGGCAGCTAGTCAATTCTCACTGCATTTGGATTTACATTAAAATAATTAAGAAAAGTTATGAACCAAGAGAATTATGCTCTGAAGAACAGCAAATTGCCCACAATCTTTTTAAAACCCATCCAGCTCTGAGAGTTTAATGTTACAGTTGAAAGGTTCACCAATATGCTAATTCCAACACTGACCAGTTCTTGCAGGCTTTCTTCTTGCCCATTTCTTTGCAGGATGGAGCTCTGAGGGACAATGGATCTGGCTTTTTCAAATCCTCTGAATCCAACAGCTCATCAGGGTCCAAAAGATCCTCAAAACACAATGAAAGAGAACACTCAGGAAACTGATTTGTCAGCAGGGAATGCCATTGCTGTATTATGTCCAAAGAAATGGTGCTATCTGTAGCACTAACATTAGAGTGCTGTAGCTGTGCCCCCTTACCTGTGTCTTCCCTCCACCCTCACCACACCTCTGGGCTTTCAAGACCTCAAATATGAGGTATTTTGCCCTAGGGATGCTTTTATGCCTCGTAAGTTGTAAAGCTTCCCAAAAGGCATGACTGAAACTATTTAGAATACAAAAGGAGAGACAAGAAACAGCAGCAAAGTCTCACAAACTATACCAGATACCAACCATCTCTTCATCGTTCATATCATTGGCAGAGAGTGTCCACAGCTTGGCAGTGGCTGGGTCCACAGAGGGCTTTCCTGGAGCCAGAACAAAGGAAGAAATAGTAGTTACTCCTGCCTTTGCCCTGCCTACTCCCAGAAAATATCTGAAACAACTTCGGAAAGCCCCAGTTCACAGGTTTTTACTGTAGCTCTCCTGGGGTGAGCTGTCTCCCTCTTCCAAGGGGTGCTTGCAGGCAATCAGAAATGTAGCACACGCCACTCCTTACCTGAAGCACCAGGTTTCTTGGCAAAGAAAAGCCTGAGCTGACTTGAGGATCCCACTTCAAAATTAGGCTTCTTGCCTTCTATCTGAACAATGATTAGATCATTGCTTTGGTAACCCAAATGCTCTTGGACTGACTGAGCCTCCTCTGGGGTCAATGCTTCCTTTTGCAGCTGCAATGCAAGATTTTAGGTTATCACACTGCAGAAGCCCCAATCCAGCATCCAGTGAACACAATCATTATTTTCAGTCCTACAGAAAACCACTACCTTTGCCAAGCACATTTACAGTAAACCAGGGTAGCTAAACACCTTGTCACCCAGCAAGTCCCCAGGAATCACCACCTACATCACAAGGGACTTTCTGGAAGTGGTCAGTACACACATACCTCCTTCACTTCCACCAACCCAGAGAGAGTCAGAGCTGTGAGGAGTTTGTCTGCTGTCTTGATTCTGCTGTTGTTTCCTGGAAGACACAAAAGCAAGAAGTAGGAGAAGGGAAGAAAAAGAATAGAGGTCACTGAGAAACCTGGAAGAGCAAGAGCTTTAGAAGGAACTGCTCAAGCCAAACCTCTGCTTTAAAACTGGGCCTTTTCTGGCTGACAACAGGAGCAAACCAGGAGAATGCAAGCAGCTTGTTCATTAAAGTAGTAGCCTGTGTGACAAAGCTGTTCTAACTTCAGATCTGTTCTATATATGCCTGAACCTTCCTCAACCCAATTAACGCTCATCAAAAAAAGGATAAAAACCCACCCCAAGACCCAAACAACATTCCCCCAAAATATTTTTACATATTAAAGTGAACAACTCAAGAGGTTTTCAAAACTTGGACTCCTAAATGAACATTTCATTCAGAAGCAACAGTCAAGACCCTTGCTCTTGCAGGCAAAAGCTCTTACACATTCACTGTTTCAGAAACTCATTACAGGTTTATTTGCTGGGGCACAGGATTGTGCTGAACAGAATCCATTCACCCTCTCTCAGTAGTCCCACTTACTCTTTATTGCTAGTCCACCAAATTGCAGCCTGACTCTGGAAAAAAGAAACCTCATCTCCTCCAGATCTGCACGTTCTTAGTTGTGTCCCAGATGTCTTCCACCCTACCCCTAAGGTACCACTTGCACCACAGAGCCACTGCTAGCTCCAAAACATCGGCAAATCTTCCCAAGCTGAAGACGGTGTTTCCACTGCTACTCACACCACCCTTTTCAGCACTGCAGATTGTGCCAGTGCAAACGTCATCAGCACAGATGCTTCTCTTCTTACCACATGGTGTGTTAGTTCCCACTTCCACCCTGAACCAGCTCCTTGTGCCAGCAAAGTTGAAAGCATGTCAAGTACAAGACAGAGAAATAATCTTGTGTTCACCTCCTCTTGTGCTCCCCCAGCTGCCCCTTGGCACATGCTCTGGTTTTACTCTTAAAACTTAAGCCCAAACACTTGTACCTTTTCTGGATACCTATTTCTCAGCTGGCTTCTGGGGCAGCCTCTCCTGGCATTTGTCACCCGTTTTTAAAATCACTTCAGAAGCTCCTTGGAAACACAACATCTGCACCTATTTAACATCACATGCTTTTTTAAGGTAGTTTAGGATCAAGTGCTAAACTTGATCAGCACCCCATCCCTGACAGTATTCAAGGCCAGGTTAGATGGGCCTTGGAGCAACCTGGTCTAGCGGAAGGTGTCCCTGCCCGTGGCAGGGGGGTTGGACTGGATGAGCTTTAAGGTCCTTTCCGAACCACTTTAGGATTTTCACTGGGGAAGAATGACTGCAAATATCTTCAATGGCTACCAGGTTAAACACAGGATAAATGCCTTACTATTCAAGTTAGTGTGTCAAGAGAGTGAACATCGCTGAAGGTCAGTCAGGGTTCCTATCCTTCCATTTCAGCCTAATCCTCATGAGAATTGCTATGTTACCATGAAAACAAGGCTGATGTGGATTCTCTCACCTGATTCTGTAACCACCAGTTCTTTCAGGAGGACACAGCCCCCTGGCTTCAGTATCCGGGCTATTTCTGCCAGCACCTCGGCACTGTGCTGCGCTGTACTGCCTGGTACCATGCCAGAGAGAATCACGTCAAAAAATGAATCCTTGTGAGCAGCTGGAAAACAAGAAGGGGGAAGACGGTTCAATTTTATATATTTACACACAGACCTTTGCTTAACACATCAGTTTCACCTCCCTCCTCATCCCTCATGCTTGTGTACAACAGCAACAACTGATTAAAGACACCATAGGAAGCAAGACTAGGGTATATCACTTCCTTTGCTGTACTGCTGGTGGTAAGAGTTAGCAGTATTGTTCTGAGTGCTGACTTACAAATCACGGAAGAAAATAGAATCACAGACTAGTTTGGGTTGGAAGGGAGCTTACGGCACATCCAGTTCCAATGCCCCTGGCATGGACTAGCTCAGGTTGCTCCAAGCCCTGTCCAACCTGGCCTTGAACACTGCCACAGATGGGGCAGCCACAGCTTCTCTGGGCAACCTGTGCCAGGGCCTCACCACCCTCACAGGAAAGAACTTCTTCCCAAGATCTCATCTCAGTCTCCCCTCTGTCAGGTTAAAGCCATTCCCCATTGTCCTGTCCCTACAGGCCCTTGTCCAAAGCCCCTCTCCAGGTTTCCTGTAGCACCTTTAGGCACTGGAGCTGCTCTAAGGTCTCCCCTTAAGGAGTCTTCTGTTCTCCAGGCTGAACAAGCCCAGCTCTCTCAGCCTGTCTCCAGAACAGAGCTGCTGCAGCTGTTGCAGCATCTTCATGGCCTCCTCTGGACTCACTGCAACAGCTCCACGTCTCTCTTGCTTTGGGACCCCAGAGATGTCAGCTCACACAACAGAAGCACCCTCTCCCTTTAATGAAAGGATAAAAAATGAAGCTAATTCTTACACTGAGACAGCTGGTTGACATTTTCCACAGATACACGATTACCAGCTCCCACCAGTGCCTGAATTTTATCCACCAAATCCTTCAGGGCTTCAGCGGGCGAGGAGCTATCACAGATGATGGCCACGTGCTGGCCTGGCGCGACTCCGTACTCCCCCATGTCCACAGCAGAAGCAAACCTAACAGCAGCAACGGGTCGGGAGGGACACAGAGGAAGGGTTATTGTCAAGCTCAGCACGAACATCTGTGGACAGTCTTAATCACAGAACACTGACTTCTTTTAGTAAATGGAGATTATTTTCTGTAGACAGGCAGTAGAGTTCCCCCAAGCTGAGCATTAACATAACATTCAGAAATAGCTACACTCAAAGGCATAATTCAGTTTCTCTCCAGTTAAGGGGCTAGTTTGCTGGGTGACTGCAGGCCATGCCTAAAAAAAAAACCAAACCAAACCCCCCAAAATGCCCCCAAACCAAACTAAATAACAACAAAAAACTTACTTGCTTTCCTTAAAGATTTTAATAGAGACATACACAGGATTTAGAATCACAGAATAGTTAGGGTTGGAAATGACCTTAAGATCATGTAGTTCCAACCACCCTGCCATGGGCAGGAATGCCTCACTCTAAACCACATCACCCAAGGCTCTGTCCAACCTGGCCTTGAACACCACCAGGGATGGAGCATTCACAACCTCCCTGGTCAACCCCTTCCAGTGCCTCACCACCCTAACAGGGAAGAACTTCTTCCTTATATCCAATCTAAACTTCCCCTGTTTAAGTTTTAACCCATTACCCCCTGTCCTACCCCTACAGTCCCTAATGAACAGTCCCTCCCCAGCATCCTTATAGGCCCCTTTTAGATACTGGAAGGCTGCTATGGGGTCTCCAGACAGCCTTCTCTTCTCCAGGCTGAACAGTCCCAACTTTCTCAGCCTGTCTTCATATGGGAGGTGCTCCAGTCCCCTGATCATCCTTGTGGCCCTCCTCTGGACTTGTTCCAACAGTTCCATGTCCTTTTTCTGTTGAGGACACCAGAACTGCACACAATACTCCAAGCGAGGTCTCACAAGAGCAGACTAGAGTAGAGGGGCAGGATCACCTCCTTCCACCTGCTGGCCACGCTTCTATTGATGCAGCCCAGGATGCGGTTGGCTTTCTGGACTGTTGGCACACACTAAAGCCGGCTCATGTTAAGTTTCTCACTGACCAACACCCCATGTCCTGCTCCACAGGGCTGCTCTGAATCTCTTCTCTGCCCAACCTGTAGCTGTGCCTGGGATTGACCCGACCCAGGTGTAGGACCTTGCACTTGGCATGGTTAAACTTCATAAGGCTGGCATCAACCCACCTCACAAGTGTGTCAAGGTCCCTCTGGACGGCATTTCTGGATTTCCAGACTAGCAACAACTTTTTCAACACAGAATCCCAAACTGGTTTGGGCTGGAATGCACCTCAAAGCTCATCCAGTTCCAACCCCCTGCCACGGACAGGGACACCTTCCACTAGACCAGGTTGCTCCAAGCCCCATCCAACCTGGCCTTGAACACTGCCACAGATGGGGCAGCCACAGCTTCTCTGGGTAACCTGTGCCAGGGCCTCACCACCCTCACAGTAAAGAACTTCTGCCTAAGATCTCATCTCAGTCTCCCCTCTGTCAGGTTAAAGCCATTTCCCTTGTCCTGCCCCTACAGGCCCCTGTCCAAAGCCCCTCTCCAGCTTTCTTGTAGCCCCTTTAGGCACTGGAGCCGCTCTAAGGTCTCCCCTTATGGAGCCTTCTGTTCTCCAGGCTGAACCAGCCCAGCTCTCTCAGCCTTTCTCCAGAGCAGAGCTGCTCCAGCCCTTTCAGCATCTCTGTGGCCTCCTCTGGACTTGCTCCATGTCCCTCTTGTGTCACTGCCCCAGAGCTGTACACAGGAGTGCAAGGAGGTCTCCCCAGAGTACAGCAGAGGGGGAAGAATCCCCTCCCTAACCTGCTGCTCATGCTCTTGGGATGCAGCCCAGCACACTGGGGGGATCCGTGTTCAAGCACACAATGAAGCCGGGTCATGGGGAGCCGGGTCATCGCGAGCTTCTTATCACCCAGCACCCCCAAATCCTTCTCCTCAGGGCTGCTCCATCCAGTCTCCCCCAACCTGTAGCTGTGCTTGGGACTGCCCTGACCCAGGGGAGACTTTGCGCTTAGCTTTGCTGACCTACATGAGGTTCTCATGGTCCCACCTCTCCAACCTATCCAGGTCCCTCTGGATCTCATCCCTTTCTCCAGCGTGTCAGCCATACCACACAACTCGGTGTCACCACAAACTTGCTGACGGTGCTCGATCCCACTGTCCACATCAGCGATAAAGTTGTTGAACTACGACCCCCAAGGAACACCACTTGTCACTGATCTCCACTTGAGCCATTGACCACAATCCTCTGAGTACGACCACCCAGCCAATTCACCAGGTGGTCTATCCATCAATACCATGTCTCTCCAGTTTAGAGACAAGGATGTTGTGTGGGACAGTGTTGAACTGTACAAGTCCACAGAGATGATGTCAGTCACTCTTCCCTTATCCACCAGTGCTGTGGTCCATCACAGAGGGTCACCAAATTGGCCAGGCACAACTTGTCCTTAATAAAGCCACAGCAGCTGTCGCCAGTCACCCCCTTAGTGTCTATGTGCCTCAACACGGTTTCCATTTGACATTAAACACTGCCTTGTCTCTCCCACTCAGGAGGGACCTGACCTAGCAGAATCTGCCTCTGCAGCACATAAGGGGAAAAGAAGAAAAGCAATTTTCAGCCTTCCCAGCATTCCAGACTGAGACTCTCGACTCATGGGTGACACTGTGTGAGCAACTGCACAGAGGGGAACAGACAGTGACAGCTTTGAGAAACCTGTGTGCACCAGTATTTTATAAAAAATTGCATTCCTTACAGAGCCTGCTGAAAATCCACACTCTAGCAGTGTCATAATCACCTGTACTCACAGCAGCACCAGCTACAGGAACAATCACCGAGTCTCTTTCACTCTGCCCCTCCAATACAAACCTGTTTTCCTTCCCATTTAACACAAGCACACAGAATAGGGAGCACAAGTGAGCACACCAGCTGCCCAATATACCTTCAATCGGCTACAAGCCACATGCTTGCTTTGTAACAGCCTGTTGTAAGTAAAGTTGTCACCAGAAGTCATTACATTACACACTCTGGGTAGTGTCTTATTGCCACCATGTTGTCATGAAAGCATATCTTATGGGTACCTGTGCCAGATTCAACGCAGTTGCCTGCAGTCAGGTGTAGAGTGGATTTTGACCCACGGTTCCTCTGGTTCTATGTGCGGTGGACCCCTCTCTCCTGGAAACTGCAAACATGTTCAGAACAGGACAACTCTGCACCTTGTCTGACCCGCTCTAGTAGGAATTTGTACTAATGCAGCCCACAGCACCATTCAATTAAGGAATGGAAGATCTTGGTTATGAGCTCCTGGTTATAGTACCTCCCAGTTGGCCTTGCACACATATGCAACACAAGCTAAGCAAGTACAACAGCCAGTAACACTAGTAACCACACATATAAATCCTACTAAAATGCCATGTTTCCTAGGAAGATGGCAAAAAACCTCAAAAGATACAAAAGCTGTTAGGGTAACATGGCAAAGCTGAATTCAAAGATGCACCTTCCTCCCACAACAGCAAGTTGTGACCTTTCAATACCAGTCCAGGGCCCAAACTGCATCAACAGAACACCAGCCCACTTACCACACCGAAGAGGACTCCTGCCTTACACCACCTTGTGCCACGCAGGGAGGAGGCCCAAGGGCTGGGCCCAGCATAAAGAAGACTTTATCTGAATTCCACACACATTTACCAGCCCTTAAGGCACACCACTGCCCAAAACAGGGCAAGGAGAGGGCTGCAAATAATACTGGAGGTTGCGAGCTTCAACAGATTAAAAAACAAGATACGGGAGGGAATGCCACGAAGGAATGTCACACGGGAATTCCCTGACACACACCCCCTCCATCCCGCCCGCGCGCCCGCAGCGGCCGGCCCAGGCGCAGCCTCCGGAAATCCTTTTTAAAGGGGAAAACGGTAATCTCGGCCTCCAAGCAGGTGTCCCGGTCCTGGTCCCGGTCCCGGTCCCCGTCCCTAGTCCCCCAAGCCGCGCACGACTTACCTCAGCTCAGCTCAGCTCAGCTCGCCTCGCGTCATCCCGGTCTGACGCCGTCACCGCCGCGTCCCGGCGCCGTGACGTAATCCCGCTGCTGCCCGCTTCCAAGATGGCGGCGGCGAAAGGCCTACGGCTGGCGAGTCTTTGGCGGGGCCGCGCCGGTGAGGGGCGGGGGGAGCGCGGCTCGGTGGGTGGGGAGACTGCGTGGTCGTCCTCGTGCCACCGTGACTGGGCCGGGGCCGGGGCCGGGGCCGAGGCCCGGGCCAGGCGGCAGGGCGGGGCGGGGCCGGGCGGAGCGAGGAAGGTGATGTGAAGGGCAGAGGAGCGGCGCCGCTAGGGGGCGGTACGGGGTTGTGTAGTCGCGCCAGGCCTAGGCCTACTCCCAGGCGCAGCCTAAGGCCCAGCCTCAGGCCCAGCCTCAGCCCCAGCTCCAGGCTCAGGCTTAAGTCTGGTCCTTCCTGAGGCTGGTGTCTGTGGACCCTGGTCAGGCAGGCTGGAGATACATAGCCTGCCGCAGGGGTATGCTTGGGGAGCGAAGCCTCTTTCACCTTCCAGGCCCTGAAACTGCGCAAGGCGTTCGAGGGGACTGGGGGCGGGGTTGAGGAGAAGTTAGGTGGTGGTTAAGTGTGGGCTGTGCAACCCAAGCTTATTGCAGTTCAATTATAAATTCTCACAGAGCAGCCGTAATCAAGAGCTGTGTGACCTTTGAGTCACCTGAGAAGCACACGTCGTGATCTCAGTTGTGTCTGTTAACATTGCTGGGATATTACCAAGGGTCAGTGCCTTTCTCTTAACTTCTCTCATTCCTCCCCTTTGTCAGGGACCAAAAAAGAGAGTGGTCATGCTGCAGGGCAGTCAGGGAATGTTTGTGTGCCTGGTTTCCAGTTCAAGACTGGGAAACTCATTTCTGTTTGCTATATGTGCCGTCTGCACAGTTCTTTACCTCACAAAACATTTTCACTTTATTTTCACCAAGTAAATGTGAGCTCAGCTGAGAGGGATGCTTCTCAGAAGTGTAAAAAGACACTTTCTACATATTTCTGTTCTTTTCAGCTGGGTTTACTGCAGCTCTCTGCTTCATCTTAATTTTCTGTGCTTCCTTATATTGGAAAAAGACATTTGAACCTTGGCTTCCCTTTCAGCGCTCCAGTGCCAGCTCTACCCACCACAGCGTGCTCTCCAGGCCTCAGCTGTGCTGAGGAGTGTCTTTGATGAGCAGAAGAAGGAGCCACTGGCATCGTCTTCTCAGCATCAGTTCGATTCACATCCAGCTGATCACCAGCCTGAGCAGGAATGTCAAGGCCGTTGTCCCAGGTAACTCACTAGCTATTTCTAGTGCTGTCCTGCCAATAGACTTTGGTTTCCTGAAACTTGCATAGAAGCTTGAAGACAACGAGATCCAGAGTTAATGAAGCCTCAGACTGCAGCAACTGGAGAGCTGATTTGCTGAGACAGTGCAAATTCCACTGTCCGATGTGGAGACAGGATGGAACTTGCTTTCAAGAGGGAACCTCTCTGGTCTGCAAAACACAGGACTTCAGTCCTGGATTTTTTTGTAAATCCATACAAAATATTGTCCATATTCCTGTAACTGTAGAGTTCCTGCTGGAAAAGCTTATAGTTTAGCTTGTTTTTTTAAAGAAGGGGTAATCTGAGGCTGGTTGATCTTCATGTAGGCACCTAGATTGAGCCCTCCTGTATTTTTCTCTTCTCTTATGGCAAAGGTTCATTAAGAATCCTTTTCCTGGAAACGGAAGGATTTTACAGGAGGAGGTGAGAATTATACTAAGCAGACCTCAAAAGCATGCCAGCACACAGCAGTGGCAGCAAGTGAGTGGCAGAGTCCAGGTTGCTGGTGTTTGATGGTGACATTCCCTCACTGTAATAATACCTTCTCATAGTTACACTGGCCAGGGCGGCCAGGAGTCTGAGGACTATGAGAGCGAGGAGCAGCTGCAGCACCGAATCCTCACAGCAGCGCTGGAGTTTGTGCCTGAACATGGCTGGACTGCAGAAGCCATTGCAAAGGGAGCCAAGGTATGTGGGAGAGAAGCAACAAACCAGTTGAAAACTGGATGAAGCTTAAGTCCAGACAGCCAGGCCTGCATGCTTCCCCCACATACTCTTGGGTGATGCAACCCAGTCAGCAAATGGAATGTGGCCCAGCTACTACAGAATAACCTTGTCAGGATTACAGTAAGGCACAATGTAAAGTAGTGATCCTAAAGAAATGAAAACGTACGTGAAGTACTTTTTAATGCAGTGTTGCTTTGTTTAAATTCATATAACTTTGTTCACGAAAGAAATAAACACTTTTCGCAGCTGGATCCTGCTTAGCAGTATATGACCTGGTCTGTGCTTCTCCATTCTTCCCTGCAGAGCCTGGGTCTCTCTGTTGCTGCTGCAGGGATGTTTTACAGTGATGGCAGTGACCTGATCCTGCACTTTGTGTCTGAGTGCAACACGAAGCTGTCTGAGCTGCTGGAGCAGGAACAAAAGCTAGTGCAGTTGGGCGAAGCAGAGTGAGTATTGGCTATGAAAAGACATCTTCCTTGGCAAACTCTGCCAAAGGGACTGGATAGACAGAGAGGCCTCCTGGGACACAGATACTTTAAGTTAAAAATTAATTTAGCCAAATAAAATCATCCTCACAGAGTTGTACAAAAGGCGTGAAGGATCCATAATACTTCACATATCTACTGCTGAGGCAGACAAGCGATTGACCTTTCAAGTTCAGAATTGAGCTTAATTTGGATATTCTTCACATTTGGGGTTTTTTCTTACCCAGGAAGAAGCCTACAGATCAGTTCCTGAAGGATGCTGTGGAAGCCAGACTGAGGATGCTGATTCCATATATTGACAAATGGCCCCAGGTATAAAATGAATATCGAGATTGTCTCCTTTTTCATTCGTATTTTAAACACTCTGTGACCTTCAACGTAGTCTCTCCACCAGAGCAGTTCAGGGTTGTAAATGAAACCCTCACTGGCTTCACATGATTTGCAGCCTTCAAGAGGAGAGCAGACTTGGCAGGAAGCAGTTAGAGGTGTCCTTAGAACAACGATTTCTCGCAGTTCTGGAAAAGCAAACCACTCCATTACTCACCATCTGGGATCCCAGGGGATGAGCCATGTCTGCTCAGTCCTGTTGCAGTGTCACTGCAAGTCAGGCTCCTTGAAGCATTATTCTAGCTGCACCCATATCACCTGACACCTGGGAACACGGAACTCCTGCTTTGCTGCAGGAAGCTGCTTGCCCAGCATGCAAGTGACAAAACTTTGACAACCTGAGGGCAGATCTGTGAACTGAGAGGGCTCCATGCTTCAAATTTCAGATTTAAGTCTCAAGCTGTTCTTTCTGGGGTGGGAAGGGAATTGAATTTTAGCCACAGTAACAAGCAAGGAGTTCCCAACCATGGGCTGCAGAGACTGTTGCAAAGTCAGCCTCTTGTCCAGAATCACTGCTGGCTTCTGGGCAGCTGCATCCACCATTCCTTACAGAGAGAGAAGACAGAATTCATGGGTTTGTTCCAGATTAGCATAACTTGCCTTGTGAGGGATGTGAGTGGTTTATGACTCTCTTGGTCTTGTGTTACTATGTTCAAAGGCTGCAGGATCCCAGTAGGGCCATTATGAGTGGCTGTTCTGCTTTTGGTGGCTGCTTTGAGTTCAAAGTCAAATTCAGAGAAATGAGAAATTTGACTCCCTGCCCATAGGGGCACAGTGCAAGTGTGAGTCAGTTCAGGCTGTGCTGTTTCCATGCTTGGAGAGGCAGCTTGGGAGAGAAAACATAGTGGGGTTCTTGCTGAGCAGGGGGCATGGAGCTCCAGCACAGGCTAAGGTTTGAGCTCAGCTGCTGCAGCGTTCCAACATGTATTCCACACAAATCCTGCCACTTGGAAAGCTGAAAAGAGCAGGGAGGACTTGTCACTGGGAGCTGGAGGCAAGTCAACAGCAGCAGGGCAAAGATAACAGAGCATTGTTGGTCTGCCTTAATGTTATATCCTTCTCTCTTCATCTCTTCCATTTATCTGTGTTTCCTTTGCAGGCTCTGAGCATCCTGTTGCTCCCACGTAACATCCCGTCCAGCCTTAACCTCCTCACCAGCATGATTGATGATATCTGGCAGTATGCTGGAGACCAGTCCACAGATGTAAGTCCTGGTGCTTTACAGACTGGCTGGAGCTACCCCTCAGCACCTGAGCAAATTGATGGGTTGAAGCAGGCATTGGGGCATGTCTCTCTTGAAACTATCCTGTTGTTGAATGAGAAAGACATTTTCAGAAGCACCCAAGGATCTTTTCCAACGAGTTTTAAGAGCCAATAGGACTAAATGCAAATTAATACCCATGAGATTAGTGCAAATTAAAGGTCTTGCCTTCCTAGACAAAATTCTTGTGATTTTCAGCCTAAACCTTGATCTGTACTCAGTGCATGAGCAGTGTGTCTCTGTCACATGTCTGTTCCACCAGCAGTAGCATTTGCAGATTTGACTTGAAAACTTTTAAAGAACCTACCCAAAAATACCATCAGCTTATTAAAACTTTCATCTTTCTGTCAGGAAATGAAAGAAAATTATAACTTAATTAAAACAATAAATTACTTTAATTCATATAGATGTAGGGAGAAAGGGGAAAAGCTGAATGAACCATGTTAATAAAGTACTTTAATAAGCTGCTTTTATCTGTGTATAAAAGAGAAGCTACTGCAGTGAAAAATAAATAAGATGATACGAAAATTAAAGGAATAAACCAGAAGAGATGTGAAAGACTGTGGCTGCATCAGGAACTGCAAGTCCATTTTGGGTTATGAAAGTCCAATTGATGTGTCAGTTAGTGTCTGCACTGAGCTGTTCTAAAATCTCTTCACAGGCAGGGATTAGGAGAGGTTCTAAAGTTTGTCTTTTTGTTGGCACCTTTGTGCCAGTTACATGAGTTTCCTTTGGGAAGCTGTGGTGCTCAGCCCCCCCCTCCTTTCCCAGTAACAGGGTTTAGTGTCAATTGTGGTGGACCCCTCCTCACCACACCAGGAGCACAGTAGAGTATATGAGTGCCTCAGAGACCTCTTTGGGTGGGTTTTTCAGAGCAGAAGGAGAAATCAACAGAAAGCATT